TTATTTGGAAAAAGGAAAGATCTAATTTTGGGTTTGGGTGGAGAATTCTAGAGACAAAGTAATAACTTCATTCAATGTTTGGACGCTCAAAGCTCAACCTTACTCAATGCCAGCTTTCACTTTATTTCCCAAAAAGTTAAAAAATTGTTGGACCCAAGGCTTGAACCTAAGAACTCTCATACATAAGAAGCAAATTAACTCAAACCACTAGTCCATCTATAATTTTATGTTATTATTCCAAACTTAATTACATATATATATAAATTTTGGGGCCCCTCAAATTTGGGGGCCCTGCTCCGTCGCCCACCTTGCTCCGGCTCAAAACCGCCTATGGCAGACATAATGTTTCAATGATAGGGATATAAAATTCTTGTCAAAAAAAAATGATAGGGATATACGAAGTAAAAAATAAAGTTATTGGAAAATCTCATTATTGAATATTGATCCTTCTTGAAAGTCGGTGTACGTGTATGAGATGAAATAGTTCCTACCAAAAAACAAAGAAAGAGAAAGACATGTAAAAGTCCAAATCAACAGTGTACGTAACATCTTCAACATTTTTAAGGGGAAAATTAGTCAAAGAGGTGAAAATTCACTCTTAAATATATTTTTTCTTCTCTTGTTAATCAATCATTTTAGCTATATACATACAAGTCAACTTTTACTCCCAAGCATATGCAAATGGTGGAGCTTGAATTTGAAATCTCATAGTCACAAGGTCTCTTTTATCTCCATCGTTTTCATCAAGCATGCATATTCAGTCTCAATAACCTAGTGACAATCATTGCAATTATGATCGTTACATAATATGGTCCCTATTTCAAGCTAAAGTAGGGGGTTTGGTTGCTTAGCTTGCCCATACGCCAAAGTCGATCACTCGATCCCCCTTTACACCCGGCCTTAATAAGAATTAAACCAAATATTCTGCCTAGCCCATTACTCATGACATGGCGAATTTAAAACATCCATAAATCCATAATAATGTACTAGTCTGATCTCTTTCAATCACTTTCACAACTAATTAGGAATCAAATAGTACCCTATTATTGTTTATTAGTAAACACCACAAAAAAAAAAAAAAAAAAAAAAAAAAAAAAAATATATATATATATATATATATATATATATATATATATATATACTTTTTATTAGTTTATTGATAGACTAGTAATATTTACAGCGGATGTAGAAGACCAGTATTTTAATTTATGCAATGTATGTGATAGAGTTGAGAATGTATGTATGTATAAAGATATTCTTGTCATAACTTAGGATATATTTTGTGAATATTATAATTATCATTTGAGAACTTTAAATATGATTAGGACTTACTTTTGTAACCCTATATATCTTGAGTTATAAATATTGATAGATTATGCTTATAATCTAATTTTATCAATAATATTTTTTGTATAATTTGATCTACATCAGGGTATTGTGTCTTCCTTGGTGATAATTTGATCTCTTGATCCTCGAAACGACAATCCACTTTGTCTAGGTCTAGTGCTGAAGCTGAATACAGAGGGGGTTGCTAATGTTGAATCTGAATCCTGCTTGGTTCGAAATCTGTTGCTAGAGCTGAAATGTCCTATTTCGAAAGCAACACTAGTAATCCGGTACAACATCAGCGCACTAAACATATTGAGATGGACATACACTTTGTTCGTGAGAAACTTCAACGAGGAGAAGTTTGTGTCCTACATGTGTCATCCCGTTACCAGATTGCGGACATTTTCACAAAAGGTCTACCTAAGGTTTTATTTGATGACTTTCGGGACAGTCTCAGCTAGGGCTGTACACAATTTGGTCTAGACCGTAACCAAACCGGACCAAACTGCATTTTAGCGATTTGGTTTGGTTTACAGCTTGTAAATATACGGATTGATTTCGATTTATTTGTAAATACAATTTACGGTTTGGTTTGATTTTTCAAAAATTATAAACCAAACCATGTCGTAAACCAGTAAATCTTATTTTTATATTTATATTTTTAAATGATTATTAAAATTAAAAAAAAACAATAAAAATATGAAGAAAAAAAATACAACAAGGTATACAAGTATACGACTATACGGTTAGTAGATCATAAACTTATAATCAAAATAAAAATTTAATGTTGTTGGATGAGTGCTTGAACATGTGGTAATATTGTTGGCCTGCTGTGAGCCCCTGATGTTATCAATCTTGTCATGTTGCTGCCAATTTGACATATGTATAAATTATTATAATGACTATAATGTATTATGAATTAATGATGATAAATTGATTGTTATTGTATTATTTGTTAGCACTTGGATTGTTATTTTTATTGTAAATTTTTAATGCAATTTAATCCATTTGGGCTAATTATTTAAACTTTATTATAAATCAATAATGTATTATTTTGCAATTTTTAGAGAAAAATGGCGTCTTATCATAAACCGCAAACCAAACCGCACCAAATCGTATTATTATAGTTTGGTTTGGTCCGGTTTCAATACTAAAATATATTGTTTGGTTTGGTTTGAAAAATTGACCAAACCGTATTTTGCAGTTTGGTTTGGTTTGGACTCAAACTGCACCAAATCAGACTGCGTTCACCCCTAGTCTCAGCGTTCGACAACCTCCTGTTCGACTGCGGGGGTATGATAGATTATGCATATAATCTAATTTTATAAATAATATTTTTTTGTATAATATTTTGTGTATATCTTTAGTTAGTTTAACTTAGCTTAACCTAGAATATTCTCATGTATATATTTGAACGTAAATCAATGAGAAAGGCACGACAAACATTTCTCACATTCTCTCAAATATCACTCCAACATAGACCTGGGAAATGGGTCGTTTGGGTCGGGTCATTTCGTGTCGGGTCATTTTGGGTCAGTTAACATTCGGGTTGGGTATGGGTCAGGTCAGGTCATTTTGGGTTTCGGATTAGGTATCGGGTCGGGTCACTTCCGGGTCATATTCGGGTCGGGTCAAAATCAGGTCGGGTCATGTTCGGGTTGTTCCATCATTAGTGGATCAAGCTCAAGTCGATAATTTAATACTTTGTTATTGTTATAATAAAAACTATCAATTCAGTTTATGAGATTAGCTACGGTTGAAGATGAACAATTTGAGTTAATTTTGGCACCAGACATTTTTAGTTCGATTATAAGGTAATTTTAGTTCGAGACATTTCAGGTATCGGGTTTGTTCGGGTCAATTTCGAGTATCGGGTTTGTTAGGGTCAAACACTTCAGGTCAATTTCGGGTCGGGTCGGGTCAGTTCGGGTGTCGGATCAAGTTCAAATCAACTCCATTTTCGGGTCAGGTATGGATCGAGTCGGGTCAATTTCGAATTTCGGGTCAATGTTTTGGGTCAATTTCGAATCATGGGTCGGATCATCGGGTCTGAGTCAGAATTGCCAGGTCTACTCCAACAATACCATTGAACCAAAGATGCTTTATATTTCATATATGGCAACGTTAAATGATAATAGTTAATCCGTAATTACAGGTAGAAAGAAGTAAAAACAAGAGTGAGATTTGTATTATTGGGATGTGTTGTAACCAACGCAACAAAAATAAATCAGAGTATAAATTAAATTACCATTTATAAATGAACCTATGTAATAACTAGTATGAGTCCCGTGCATGCACAGTTTTTACAAAATTTTATTACGAATAATAATTTGTAGTTATTACTACAATAATTAATTTTAAAAATAAATTAAACATAATCAAATAACTTCATTATATAACAATAAAATCAAGGTCATTACCCTCGCGTGCAATACATTTAAGTCCCACACTTTGATAGGCACATGGGTAATTTAATTTATTATTTGTTTCATTTTTAGTAAATGGTGGAGAATTTAATTTTTGTTTTATTATTAGCACTATTGTTATGATTATAGTCAATGGGTATTTTTATCTAATATTCTTATAATATTAAACACAAAGATACATATTTATGTATAGATGTATAATTTGATAAATTATTTAGGATATATATTGCATATTTGTAATTATATTTACAAAATGAGGTGCAATGTTAATAAAAGCACAGATTCTTACAACTTCATTTATTTTACTTTTCATCGAAAAAATTGTTGATGGGTTTATTCTTGAAAATAAAATACAAAGTAAAACATATGCATATAATTATACTAAAAAGAATAATTTGAAGTCTTATAGAAAATTGCTATTTTAATACGGAGTACCCAATAAAAAAATGGTAAGAAAGATATTGTTCTTAAAAAATGGAAAGAAAGATATGAAAATGTATATTGGTAGAACATACATGGAAGAAATTTGATTTGAAATATAGAAGTTATTATTTGGCAAAAAAAAAAAAAAAAAACAACATGTAGACGGGAAAATTTTTAATTAGAAGATGACATGTGTCATTCTAAAGTTCGCCTTTAGTATAAAGTTATAGAAGATTGGTTATTTAATCTCTTATAGTATCAATTTTATCCAAAAATGAAAGTCCAAAACCATACACATATAGTATTTCATAGATATTTATGAGGTTAATATATAAAATAAATAAAAATAAAAAATTGAAGGAAGGTTTATTTAAAAATTCGTTACCTTTAGATTTAGACAATGCTTGTAAGTTGTAAGAATGTAGATAATAAGGTTTAAGATACGGAGTAATATAGATAATACTAATATATTTTACAAAGGCACAAAGAATTTCAAGAGTGAGATCTATTTTGTCATACGATAAATCGATAATCTGACATTAATTGTTTATTTAATTTGATTTGATATTTTTGAGATTAATGTCGTATTAATATTAATTACAAAGTAAATACAAGTATTAATAATAAAATATTTAAATGGAGAAACTTCTACCTTAAATTCTTACGTGTTGAAAAATGAATATGTAAATACTACATTAAACAGTAATCCTATACTTCTTTCATGCTTTGACAAGCTAATCAATAATTACATAAGAATTGCCAAATAAATAATCAACTGATTGACAGGCTAACCATTGTCAAGTTAGCAACTGGCAAATATATTTTCATATCAAGGTAAACACTTCAACTACGCAATTCAATGTACGAAAATAATATAAAACGCGTTCAAATGATATAAAACTTAGGCCTAAAACTAACTACATACTTCTACCAACTTCCAAACCAAAAAAATGACGACCATATTTCCTATAATTCTATACTTAACCTCATTAATCAACATAGTTCTAGCAGTAGATTACATCCCTAAGGATCATATCCTTGTAAATTGTGGTACTTTCGACCGGAAAACAACCGATCCCGACGGCCGAATATGGAGCTCCGATAAGGGTTCTAAGTATTTGGTATCATCCAAAGGCACCTTTAGAGCTAGTGCTAAGACTCAAGCACCGGATGTTGGTAGGGTTCCTTACATGTCCGGTAGGGTGATGTACTCCAATGCTACGTACAACTTCCCCATTTCGCCCGGTCGTGTTTTTCTCCGGCTTTACTTCTACCCCAACGTGTATTCCCGGTCGAATGCGGCCAATGCCGTGTTCTCCGTCACGGTTGGATCATACGCCTTGCTTAGGAACTTTAATGTATATAAAGCTACTCAAAAGCTTGATGTTCATTACTTAGTCAAAGAGTATTATATCAATGTTGATAGTGGAATTTTGACCGTAACGTTTTCTCCCTCGTATAATACGTTTGCTTTTGTGAATGGTATTGAGGTTGTGTCTATGCCTAGCCTCTATGACAATGAAGATGGAGACAACATTATCGGCGCGAGTAGCCCTTTTCAGATTGAAAATTCTACTACTCTTGAGAGTTTGTACCGGCTTAATGTAGGCGGAAACTATATTTCGCCTACTAAAGATGAGCTTTTCAGGTGAGTTAAGTTAGATATTTAAGTATTCAATCTTTTTAGAAAGTTTTACTCACTTAAATTTTCTTATTAATTGGAAACTCCCAAAATCTCTAATACAAATAAATTATGTGTTTTTTGGGTAAATACTTCTCATAAAATGATCTCTCATTTCAAAAAAAAAAAAAAAAAAAAATAAAATAAAATAAAATTATACAGGTTACTAATCATAGTAATCAAGAATAAAAGATGAAATTTTTGTCTCAGTTTAATTTTAATATAATAACATATATATAGACAAAACTAATATGTGTTCAGCATTATAAAATTTGTAAGAGATCTAACTTGATAATCTTTTTTTTGGTAGGTCATGGTATGATGACTCGCCTTATCGGTCAAGCTACATGCTAGGTGTTGCTGAAGTTGCCGATCCAGGACTAACCATAACATATCGAAAGTCCTTGCCCTCCTACACCGCCCCCGTCGATGTCTACACCACGGCAAGGTATATGACACCGGACAGCTTCCGCAACCTCGAATTCAACCTAACATGGTTGCTCCCCATTGATACTAGGTTTGCTTACTTGGTGAGGCTACATTTTTGTCAAATTCTCTCAAACATTGACAAAGTCAACCAAATGGTGTTCAACATCTACGTCAATAAAATAACCGCATTTTCAGCCGTTGATGTTATTGCGTTGACAAACAGCAATGGAGCTCCTTATATTATGGATTTTGTGGTGATTATGCCCATTACTAAAGATCCTAAACAAGATTTGCGGGTTGAATTAAACCCGAGTACCAAATATAGACCACAATACTATAATGCATTTTTAAATGGGTTGGAGATTTTTAAGATTAATAATACTGATGGTATTCTAACAATTTAGATCCAATAATTACATGTATATTTAATAATGCCGTTATTTTAGCTTCAACCATTATCATGCACGTCTAATTGTTATTACTCCGTGATTAGTGGATTTCTTCTTTAATTGTACTATACTTAATGATATCGTGAGTATATGACTATATGATATGAGACGTCAAGTTTTGATTTTTGTAAAATATTGCTATTAGTCTTATTACACGATTAGAGATTTAGTTTGACTTCAATTCTGCTATTAGTCTTATTACACGATTAGAGATTTAGTTTGATTTGAATACTATAATGCACTTAATTTTTTGAGAAAAGAATACTACAATGCATTTTGAATACTTCGTGTATGTTTGAAAGTTAGAGATGTATAGTTTAAATAATGAAGAGATTATCATCATCATCATTAATGTTAGTTTGGATGAACTATTACGAGAGGGCGGGTGAATTGTATTAGGTTCCAGTTAGATTAATCTTTTGCGGAATATAAAAACAGAACTTAAAAGGAACTTAAAGCACACAACAAGTTTTACGAGGAAACCTTCCAGGGCCCAACTGGAAGTAAACCTCGACCCTTCTCGGGATTTGCACACCAAAACTTCACTATAATAGGGCAACTCCTAGTTACAGCCTATTAGAAAAAGACCTTTCTCACAAGTTCCTGCACGGCAACTTGCTACACTCACAAGTTCTTCCACGGACACTTGGTACCTGATAGGACCCTATCCTACCCAACCTAAGTCCCACACTTTGGTTCACTCAACACTCCCAAAGTGCCTACACTCGGCTTCACACTAGAAGCACACTCACTGTGCACTCACAGCTACCACACAAATTTTAGCGAATTCAAACTCACACCTATAATAATCGAATTTTAGAGAATTCAAACTCACACCCCAAAAACCAATTACAACACAAAGACTCATTCTAATACATAAATGGAAAGCTACTCATGAAACCATAAATCAAAATGATAAAGCATAAACCTTTGGCATGTTGGAGATATTGTTGAATAGTCTCCTTGGTTGCTTCAAAATAAAAGAACAAAGTCCCACATTGGTGAGGTAAAGAGGTTTTACCCTCTTTATATATTTCATCACTCATGTTTATACTTGAGTAACTTGTGTGGGCTAGATATGGGTATCCCCTCACGCGCCGCCGCCCGGCCCGGTTCGTGTTCTTGACACGTGCGCGAGTGTGGGTGTGGCCAGATTTTACACATGATTCTAATTTTTCATGTAAACTTTCGGATAACAGTCACAATATCATCGTTGATATTGTAACCGTTATTACGTGGATTCAGTCAAAGATTTAACCCTTGATTTACTCCGTAATTATCCCAATCAATTGTTTGACTGATTAACTTCCCCAAAATTATCTCTTCATTTTACCGTTTTCTTTGACTAATTACCGAGATTTTCTCCCTTGATTTTTTGGCTCTTCTCACTTTAAATACGAGGTTGTTTCAGTCTTTGAGAACACAAAAAAAAAATAATAAATAAATAAAAACCTGACTTCCTCACTGTTTTTCTCATCTCTCTCAAAAAATATTCAAAACACTATTTGGGCATTGTATTATTGAGTTCTCAATTCATCCTTACGGAGTACATAGTTCGGATGAAGTCGTGTAACCCCGTGGGTCGATTGTCGTGAGTCCGTGTGTACGAGTGCGGGGCAAATTCGACTTTAGGGAAGTGATTTCTGTCACGCCACGACAGTTCTCTTTGCTTTGAGATAAGTTTTTATTTTGTTATTAGCCTTACTTTTCCAACATTCTAAAGTCGAAATTTATATATTCATATTATGGCTGATTCTGAAATTCATACTGATGTACCATTGAATTCTGCCATGGTTAATGCTTTTATTCCTGATATGTCTAAGACGGATCCTTTTGATGGAAAAATTATAAAATGTGGTCTGATAAAATGGAATTTTTCCTTAGTCAAATTGGTGTAGATTATGTTCTTGATATTGATTCTGCCCCAAATTCTGTTAGAGATTTTGCTAAGGATAACAAAACTTGTCGTGGAATGCTCTTACATTACATGACTCAACCTTTGTTTTTAATCTGTATCAAATATAAGAATGCTAAAGAAATTTGGGCTGCTCTGAAATCTAAGTATGGAACCGATGATTTTGGGACTAAAAAATATGCTTGTAGTCGTTGGTTAAATTTCCGTATGACTGATGATAAATCTGTGCTTGATCAAGTTCATGAGTATGAAACTTTATGTGGTGACATTATTGCCGAATGAATGAAAATTTGTGAGAAATTTCAATCAAATTGTCTTCTTGAAAAACTTCTGCCATCTTGGGAATCCTACGTTCATTCCATGAAGCAAAAGCAGAAAGATTTCACCCTCCAGGAATTAGTTTCTCACATCAAAATCAAGGAACAGAACTGAATTCAGGTGAAATCTAAATCTCGTGATCATTCTTCCTCTTCTGCTAACCTGGTTGAATCTAAGTCTGCAGGAAAAAATAAAGGATTCAAAGGGAAATCACCTAATCAGGTTCACGGCAAAAGGCTTAACAGGTTTTCGAAAAATAAGGGCAATGGCACTTTCAATGTAAAGTGCTACACTTGTGGTGAATCTGGTCATAGTTCCAGATTTTGTCCTAAGGGACATGGACCGGGTTCGAAAAATAAGGGTAAAAATAATAGCTCCAAATCACATGTTAACCTTACTGAAGATATCATTGCTGCAGTTGTCTCTGAAGTTAATTTAGTTAGTAATGTGTCTGAATGGATTGTTGATACAGGAACAACTCATCATATTTGCTCTAACAAACAACTTTATCAGGCTTATGAATAGGTTGGAGATGGTGAATGTGTTTTCATGGGCAACTCAAGTTCTGTGAGTGTTCATGGAAAAGGAAAAATTATGTTGAAACTTACTTCTAGAAAAATGATTGCTTTACAAAATGTTTTACATGTGCCTGATATTCGCAGGAACCTTATTTCTAGAGCTCTACTTAATAAATCAGGCATTAAGTTAACCTTTGAATCTGATAAACTTGTACTCACCAAAAATGGTGATTTTGTGGGAAAGGCTTTTTGTAATGGGGGCTTTTTATTCTTGATGTTGATGTTATCGTTGATAATAATAATTCTGCTGGTTCTGTTTATATTGTTGAGTCTATTTCTTTATGGCACTCTAGGTTAGGACACGTTAATGTTGCCTCTATTAAGAGGTTAAAACAACATAATTTGATTCCTAACTTTAGTTCTATAGAGTTTGATAAATGTCAAGTATGTGTTGAAGCTAAACACCCAAAGAAACCTTTTAATAAATCTGTTAATAGGTCTTCTTCTCTCCTAGAGTTGATTCATACAGACTTAGGTGACTTTAAGAACACAATGAGCCGAGGAGAGAAACATTACTATATCACTTTTGTTGATGATTTTTCCCGTTTTACCAAGGTCTTTTTGTTAAGTAGTAAGGATAAGGTTGAAGCTAAGTTTTTAATTTATAAAGCTGAAGTCGAAAATCAATTAGAACTTAAAATAAAAAGGGTAAGATCAGACCGAGGAGGTGAATATGATGGGAATCTCCTTAAGAAATTTTGTGAAGAAAATGGGATTATTCATGAACTTTCGGCCCCCTATACCCCTGAACAAAATGGAATAGTTGAAAGGAAAAATAGGACTTTAATGGAAATGATGAATGCTATGCTAATAAGTTCAGGTATGCCTACTAACATGTGGGGGGAAGCTCTTCTTTCTTCTTGTCATGTTTTAAACCGTGTTCCCCATAAAAAACTAGACAAGAATCCTTATGAATTGTGGAAAGGTTACAAGGCTAACCTTAATTATCTCAAAGTATGGGGGTGTCTAGGGAAAATCGGTTTGCCTGATTTTCAAAAGTCTAAGATTGGTCCTAAAACTGTTGACGGTATTTTTATTGGTTATGCATCTAACAGTGCTGCTTACAGGTTAATTCTTAAAGATGGTTCTGGATTTGGACCTATAAAGGAATCCAGAGATGTTGAGTTTTTTAAACATATTTTTCCTATGAAAATGCATGATTATCCATCTTTACCTGTTGCATCATCTTCTAACATTTCTCAACATGACTTTGCATCTTCTAGTGAGCCGGTGGAACCTAGAAAGAGTAAGAGAGCTAGGGTTGAGAAAATCTTTGGTCCTGACTTTGTTACAACCTTTCTAGCTGAACAAGTTCTAATAGATGAGGAAAATGTGAATGCTTTTGTACTAGAAGATGACCCTAGGACCTATAAAGAGGTTATGAGTTCCATTGACTCTAGTTTTTGGTTAGAGGCCATAAACAGTGAAATAGAGTCCATTATGAGCAATAACACTTGGATCTTGACCGACCTTCCTAGGGGCTCTAAGCCTTTAAGTAGCAAGTGGGTGTTTAAAAAGAAACTAAAGCCCGATGGTTCAATAGACAAATACAAAGCTAGATTAGTAGTTTGTGGAAACTACCAAAAGAAGGGGCTAGATTTCTTTGATACTTACTCTCTTGTTACTAAAGTTGCCACTATTAGAGTTCTTATAGCTCTTGCACCTATTAATAATCTTGTAGTACATCAAATGGATGTAAAAACTGCTTTTCTTAATGGTGATTTGTAAGAAGGAATATATATGAGGCAACCTGAAGGATGTGTAGTACCAGGACAGGAAAACAAGGTATGCAGGCTAATTAGATCATTATATGGTCTAAAACAGGCACCAAAACAGTGGTATGAAAAGTTTGACCAAACCATTACCTCTAATGGTTTTCAGGTAAACGATTCTGATGCATGTGTTTATTCAAAATCTGATGAGTATGGTTGTGTTATAATATGTATATATATGGATAATATGCTCATTTTTGGATCCAACATAGATATAGTTAATGTAACAAAAACTTTTCTAAGCTCCTGTTTTGACATGAAAGACTTAGGAGAAGCTGACGTAATACTTGGCATAAAAATTACTAGGACTTCAAATGGGCTGTGTCTAAATCAACCACACTACATTGAGAAAATTTTGAAAAAATTTAATCAATTTGAGTGTTCACCTGTCAAAACCCCATATGATCCTAGTATACATTTGAAAAAGAACAAAGGTAACCGTGTTTCTCAAGAGGAATATGCCAAGATTATCGGAAGTGTCATGTTTTTAATGAACTATACGAGACCTGATATAGCATATGC